CTGTAAAATGGTCATAATAATTGTCCTTATCTCATGATTATTGTGAGGATTACAGTAATCACCCCAGAACTATTATTGTTAGTAAGGACTTAGTTCATAAAGTCAGGTTTATTTCTTTTAATCTTTCTTTTATAACTCACTTAAGTTGTCTTTCATAAGCAGACAGTGCTGATCCTCTTGAATTCTTTCGTTGAGTTTCACAGGTGTTTAGTCATTGATTATGTGATATGATATCATTAGCACTGTTCTGTTACATTACATTTTCATGTTTCTCAAAAAGGTTGTTGAGGAGTTTGCTCTGTGTACATGATCTAGTATCATCCACATAAAAAAAAAAGTTCAAATTAGTGGTAGTGTCACACTTGTTCCCCTATAATCCAAAGGTCCTATTTCCCAGAGACTTAAAACAAAACAAAATCCAAATCCATTATGAGCCAACTCTTACATTGATAGAAGAGGTTAAAATGAGTATTTCAGGGAGAAGAGGTAGATGTGGATGAAGTGATAAATCTGATGGTTTTTGAACATTTCAAGATGAATAAGATGTAATTTAAAGAAATGGTTTATTTGGGATATTGTTCACACATACTGGTCAAAGTAGAGCTGTTTTGGTTTGTAGGTGGTTGTGAGAGCTTGTGTCTTCCCTTTTGCCCATTATGGCACATGAGGAACTAAAACCCCTCAGAATACTATTGAAACACTATTTGAGTCCAGTCAGAGTTCTTATATTTAATGTATTTTTAAAAACATGAATATCACGCTTGGCATGATGGTGCATACCTGTAATCCCAACACTCTGGCAGAGGTAGGAGGAATGCAAGTTCAACCCTAGCCCAGCAGACTTAGGGGGCTTAGTGAAACTCAATCTCCAAAAGGTGTGGGTGGGGTGGGAATGTAGTGTGAAGGCCCTGGATTCTGTACTTCGTGCTGCAGTACAGAACAAAAAACCTTGAACAAGTCAAGGTTGTAGGTATGATTGAAATGTTTCTTTAGAGATTTTAAGCTCCTTACATCCTTAGGGGTATTATATTGTACAGTTACCTATAAATGTTGTGTTTAGCTCCACTTGTGATTTAAAATTGGAGTTCAAGTCAGTTGTGTTAGGAAAATTCATTTTTGCTTTTACCTGTCACTTATAAGCCCTACCATATTGTGCTTCACATCTTTGAGGTAAACAGAATTGAGGACAGGTCAGCATCAAGTGCCATTTACTCTTCCATTCATGAAATTTACTTTGCTGGACCTTAACTCAGAATGACAAAAATGAAAATAATTGTATTTTACTCAAATGAGGTGATGTTAAGTAGGCACTAAGGTGATAAAGTAATTTGGAGCCTCATTAAAACATTTGTGAGAGAATGGCATCTTTAATACACTGTTTATTTTTAATCTATTCTTTTATATTTAAGTAGCTTTGGTGAAGATTTGAATATGCCTGGAACATAGTTGACATTTGATTTGAAAGGGCTGGTGACATCTGTGGAGACATTTACTAAACCATTGGCCTATTGTCCTGGGCAGTATTTACCACTTTCTGTAGCTTATTCTTCATTATGCCATGAAGAGCTAAACACTGTTGTGTTTTATAGATGAGACAGTTGAGGTACGTAGAGATAGATTGTTTGCTCTACAGTTAGGAAGTGGCAGAGCTTGGAACCTACCTCTTTAAAGCTGACTGCTTTCCACTGTACCATGCCACCTGCATGTAACTAGTGGTAGTCTATACCCATCACTTTTACAAAGCCATGAAATCTGGTGGTAGTGAGAAAGCAAGCCTCTGGTATGCTCATAATCTCTCTTTTTGGTAGGTTACACAAAGGCGAGTATAATTCAGGCACTCAGGTTTTTGGAAGTCTGTGTTACATAACCCTTAAATTAATAGCTTGCTATGTAAATAGATTTGGTTCACTGTACTTACAGCAGGACTCAATCAGGCCTATCCTCCACAGTGCTGCCAGGGCTTGTTTGGATTGCCCCTCAAGTGTGTGTTTATAAACTGACCCCAAAGCTAAAAATGTTTTTTTTCTTTTTAGGGGCACCATATTCTATTTTTCATTATTAGTTCACTTGTGTCATTGTACTTATGATGTGAAGCCTTGATTGAATTTAGGGTTCCTTTTTTTCTGTTCCCTGTTTGACTTTTCTGATAGGTGATTTTTCTTTTTAGATAGTGACCATACCTGGATTTTATAGATTATACCAGAATAATTTCCTGGCGTGGTAGGGGTTACCCTGGATCAGTGGTGGCGAACTTGTGGCATGCATACAGCAGCTGGCTGTTTGTTTTCATTGCAAGTTCTAAAAGGTTCACCATCACTGCCCTAGATAGCAGAGAGAGATTTGGTCATTATAACTAAGTCTGTTTTGGTAAGCATGTTGTATCACCTGAAGAAGTTTAATAGCTAATTTAAGTTTGATCTGTTTTCCTGTTCGTCAAATAGGTTTTTATGTATACTTTGAAGTTCTTAGGTTATAATTTAATTCATTGAGATACATGACAGTGTCCATTACAATCTAATAATTGTTAATAAAATACTACTTTCTAATACATACAATCCTCTTTTATGGGGAATTCTGCTGTTTCATAACACCTTTTGTTTGAACTTTGACTGAATCTACCCATCACCACAAAGGAACCATATCGTTATACATTCTGCAAATATGTATTACTTTTACTGTAGGAGTAATTTTTTAAAGACACTGCCAAGGAACCAACACACAAACTAAAACCCCCATATAGTTTTTCATTACTATACCTATTTGATTACTTGTCCCATTGTCTCACTTAAGACCTTTGTCTGAACTATGAACCATAAAAAAGGGTGTAATATACATAAAAAGACATAATAAAGTACATTAAAAAGCTACACATTAGCTGAAGAAAAGATTTTTCTGTGTGTTTTTCCTAAGAATAAAGGAACTCAGGACAGTATTCATGTACTTTTTAAAAATGAGATGTTTACTCCTTTAAAAAGGAAAAATTGGACTTGCTTTTATTTCTGACCCCTGAAAAGCTGAAATTTAAGAGCTTCACAATCTTTATTCTTGACTACGATATGACATTTACCTGTGTTGTATTTGTAGTGTTTTATATCTTTCTGCAAACTAAATTGATCTCTTTTTGGTTTTGTTTTTCCTTTTCCAGTTTTTAGCAGGTGCTGATTTCTGCATGTATTTTGTTTAAATTGGGAAAGTCTAACTACCCCCTGCCCCCTAAAAAAGGTAAACTATGAAAAAGAAAAACCCTGCACATACACTGGTGTGGGGTCCAGTGAAAAGCCTGTCAGCAGTTTTTGAAGGGTCTGAAGAGGAATAGATAGAGTTGAAATCAGCCTTGAGCTAGGGCTTAGCCGCTGCCTACGGTTTAACTACCTCTGTGGATAGAAGATATTCTAGGGGACTTAGGGATCAGGCTCTGCATAGGAATGTCAAAGAGTCTGAGCATTTCGCAGGGGCAGAATCCAAATTAGATATCAGACTTGCATATATCATATTTGGCAATGCAAAACAATGTTTTTGATACTACTACTGCTTTCTAGTGATGGTGAAAGGAAATACTTACTTTGAGTTTTGAGTACTTCGAACAAATACACAAATGAAACCTTCATCCTCCCTCTAAAAAAGAAGGCACTAGATATTTTTTCTGTCCCTTTAGGAGTACACGGTGAGCCACTCTCACTGAGAAGAGAAATACCTGAAAAGTCTTCTAACTTCCTTTGAGCTAGGGTTTCTTAAGTTGAGCAGGTGATATGGGTATGACTTGGACATTGGAGAGACAGGAGATAATCTGTTGAAAGCAGGATTTCCTAGCTGGCAACATTTTGTATCCCTAACACTGAAACATTTAAAGGTATGCTTTTAAATAACAGGTTTATTACTTGTGTGACATCTTATAAAAACATTAGGTGGTTATTTGTGAATCATTTCAAAGCATTTCTTTAAAAATTTAAAAACGTTTGGGTATGGGGAAGGTATTGATAGGATACAACCAATTTCAGGATTTGATAAATATAACGTGATATTCAAACTTCTAAGTATATTTTTTGCCTTTAGCAGTTTTATTGATGCCAGCCATTGACGCTTGGTATTGAGGAAGCAGGATTTTAATCACTTTTCGTAGCATAATTATTATAGGGCTTTGTGTTTAGAAAAGGGATAGAGATTGATATTTTTATCTGGACAGCTTTATGAATTAGGCCTAGTAACCTAATTTGATAGAGCATTAGTGTTGAGGCATTATGTTTAGCTTATTGTCAGTGAGAATTGTGATTATAAGTTTTTAGCCCAGTGGTCTATTTTGAACAGTTTTGAGAAGAGGTAGCCTTAGTGTCATCTGTGGAATTTAATGTTTACTGTTCATTTAAAAAAGAAAATACCCATATTCACCAGAAAGAAACAGGTTTTTCAAGCATGGAAAGACTGAAATTGTCTCAGTAAAAAGGAGAAATTACTTAGAATAACGTGGAGGTATTAGGTTGAATAATATTTTTCTTAATGATCTACCTGTCAGCTGCAATTATAATTAACTTCAAAGAATTAGAACTTGTTTCTTCATCAGGAGAAAAACCATCAAATTTGTCAAAATGATTTTAGGTAAATATAAATGTCTGTTTTACAGAATGACTATCTTTACACAGGACTGACAAATATGGACTTAATGAAGATTTATCTAATGCTGGACAAATGTCTGTGTTGTTCAGGTTTGGAAGATAATCCAGAAAACTGCTTCTTTCTCTCCTTTCTGTATTATTTGAATTAAAAGGAAAAAATGCTCAACAAAATTATACCTGAGTTGGTACTTTTGTCAGAGATTCTCTTGGAAATAATGCCTGAAGAAAAGGAAGAGAAGGAAATTACCTTTTTAAAAGTTTTCCTTTTCTCTTTCAACAGCTCAGTAACAAATCTTACATGATTTTATAAATTGTATGTTTCTAGTTTTTTGCATGGAAGATCTTGTTTCCCATGAGGCATCTTGTAAGTTTTAGGTCACTGTGTAATAACTGTACATTTACAATAGGAATTTAGGACAGTTTGCTAGCAATAGATTTGGAACAGTATTTGTTTTTCTGTGTGTAAATGATCTGGGGATAGATGCCAACCTCTATAGAGAATACATCTGTTTGTTCCATCAAGGACCCTAATGGCCATAAAATTAACCCCAAATAATCTTAGGATTCATAGTACTTAAAGGTTTGTTTTGGTGCCTTTTTGACTACCTCTACCGCCTTTAGTGTACTCTAAGATCTCCATGCCTGTTCCAAACTGAGACCACCACAGTAAGAAAAGAAAGGACACTATCATGGTAGATGGTTGCTGAAGAAAGTTACACTACTTCCGAAGTTGATGAGGTTTTAGTTCAAAATGGTATGCTCCCTGATTTTTAAGTATCAGCTGCAAGAATATAGATTAGTCTTTGCTGTGGAACTAAAGTATATTTTAAAAGTTTTTTTTTTTTAATGTCTGTTGCGCCGTGTTTGTTTGACTGAAAGTTTCCTCATCACTTGGTGAGACCCTCCTCTAATTCAATCTTTGTCTTTTGTCTTTGCTGCCTTGCAGGGTTGGTACAGTAGGCTTCACTAGACTTAGCTGCAACTCAGAATTTCTCCTCCAGCACCTGAGTAAATGCTGATGGTCTTGTGGAGAGTGGATTAAGAGTACGAGCTAAGTTCTCAATCCCAGTTAAGAAGCGGAGGAAAATTTAACTGTCTCCTTCAAAGTTTATCACCACCATCAAGACAGCAAACCAAAGGACAAAGACTTTGACCTGCTGTGTTGCTCTGTGTAGTCCAGTTCACGTATGGTTTACAAACTTGACTGGGGTTACTAATAAGTAAGAAAAGTTGGACACTTCTGTCATTTGGACATTTATTCAGAAGTTACCAGAATGAGGGCTGTACTGGAGACAGCAGACATTGCCATAGTGGCCCTGTATTTTATCCTGGTCATGTGCATTGGTTTTTTTGCCATGTGGAAATCTAATAGAAGCACCGTGAGTGGATACTTCTTGGCGGGGCGCTCTATGACCTGGGTAGCAATTGGTGCCTCTCTGTTTGTGAGCAATATTGGGAGTGAGCACTTCATTGGGCTGGCAGGATCTGGAGCTGCAAGTGGATTTGCAGTGGGCGCATGGGAATTCAATGCCTTACTGCTTTTACAACTTCTGGGATGGGTTTTCATCCCAATTTACATCCGATCAGGGGTGTACACCATGCCTGAATACTTGTCCAAGCGATTTGGTGGCCATAGGATTCAGGTCTATTTTGCAGCCTTGTCTCTGATTCTCTATATTTTCACCAAACTTTCAGTGGATCTGTATTCGGGTGCCCTCTTTATCCAGGAGTCTTTGGGTTGGAACCTTTATGTGTCTGTCATCCTGCTCATTGGCATGACTGCTTTACTGACTGTCACCGGAGGCCTTGTTGCAGTGATCTACACAGACACTCTGCAGGCCCTGCTCATGATTATTGGGGCACTCACACTTATGATTATTAGCATGATGGAGATTGGCGGGTTTGAGGAAGTTAAGAGAAGGTACATGTTGGCCTCACCCAATGTCTCTTCCATCTTGTTGACATACAACCTTTCCAACACAAATTCTTGTATTGTCCACCCTAAGAAAGAAGCCCTAAAAATGTTACGGGATCCAACAGATGAAGATGTTCCATGGCCTGGATTCATTCTTGGGCAGACTCCGGCCTCAGTGTGGTACTGGTGTGCTGACCAAGTCATCGTGCAGAGGGTCCTAGCAGCCAAAAACATTGCTCATGCCAAAGGCTCTACTCTTATGGCTGGCTTCTTGAAGCTTCTGCCAATGTTTATCATAGTTGTCCCAGGAATGATTTCCAGGATACTATTTGTTGATGATATAGCTTGCATCAACCCAGAACACTGCATGAAAGTGTGTGGAAGCAGAGCTGGGTGCTCCAATATTGCTTACCCGCGCCTGGTGATGAAACTGGTTCCTGTGGGGCTTCGGGGATTGATGATGGCAGTGATGATTGCAGCTCTGATGAGTGACTTGGACTCTATCTTTAACAGTGCCAGTACCATATTCACCCTCGATGTGTACAAACTCATCCGCAAGAGCGCAAGCTCCCGGGAACTAATGATTGTGGGGAGGATATTTGTGGCTTTTATGGTGGTGATCAGCATAGCATGGGTGCCAATCATCGTGGAGATGCAAGGAGGCCAGATGTACCTTTACATTCAGGAGGTAGCAGATTACCTGACACCCCCAGTGGCAGCCCTGTTCCTTCTGGCAATTTTCTGGAAGCGCTGCAATGAACAAGGGGCTTTCTATGGTGGAATGGCTGGCTTTGTTCTGGGAGCAGTCCGTTTGGTACTAGCCTTTACCTACCGTGCCCCTGAGTGTGACCAACCTGATAACAGGCCTGGCTTCATCAAAGATGTCCATTATATGTATGTGGCCACAGCATTGTTTTGGGTGACAGGACTCATTACTGTAATTGTTAGCCTCCTCACACCACCACCTACAAAGGAACAGATTCGTACCACCACCTTTTGGTCTAAGAAGAACGTGGTGGCGAAGGAGAGTTGCTCTCAGAAAGATGAACTATACAAAATGCAAGAGAAGAGCATACTCAGATGCAATGAGAACAGTGAGGCCATTAACCACGTCATTCCCAATGGGAAATCTGAAGATAGCATAAAGGGCTTGCAGCCTGAAGACGTTAATCTGTTGGTGACTTGCAGAGAAGAAGGCAACCCAGTGGCTTCCTTGGGTCATTCAGAGGCAGAAACACCAGTAGATGCTTATTCCAATGGGCAAGCAGCTCTCATGGGTGAAAAAGAAAGAAAGAAAGAAACAGAGAATGGAAGCGGGTACTGGAAGTTCATAGACTGGTTTTGTGGCTTTAAAAGTAAGAGCCTCAGCAAGAGGAGTCTCAGAGACCTGATGGAGGAGGAGGCTGTTTGTTTACAAATGTTAGAAGAGACTCCGAAAGTTAAAGTAATACTAAATATTGGACTTGTTGCTGTGTGTTCACTTGGAATTTTCATGTTTGTTTATTTTTCCTTATGAACTTAAGGGTATGGTAAGATACTTAACTTAAAAAAATACTGGTCTTTGGAAAAAATTATGTAACTGTTGCATCTCTCAGGCATTGTTTACGCAGTAGGTTGTTAGCCAAATTTTACTTAGCAGAAAATCATCTATTTGGTAGACTTTATTTTCCCAGAGATGGATGAAAGTAAATCTTCAGCTGAAATGAAGCAAAACAGACTGAATAGTGCAACAATGTGGTTTAAATTTTTCCATACCAAAGTTAGTAGAGACCAATTATTTTCGTAGATCACTTAGAGCAGAATATACGTTAAGGTATCATGAATAAGGTATATTGTCTGCACTGCCAAGGTTTGGTAGACCTCATGCTGAAGTAGAAGATTTGCTCATTTCTAAGTTTTTTCTGTCTCTGTAATTCCTACTACCATTAAAGAAAAATGAAGTCTGAGACATTGTAAAATCAGTTATGTACTGAAAATTATGTTTGTACTCATTTCAGGACGAGTTGGTTGTGAGATTAATTTTGTTAGCATGAGTCTGGATTCAGATTGCCAAAAGAAAGGTAGAATATTTTCCTGTAGGTATTTTTGTACCATCTGTATGTGGAATGTTGGAGGGGAAATTTTGTTCTAGTGTGTCATCACCCTCCTCCTTTCCTACTTTCATTGAAGCTTAAGGGAACCATACTCAAAATGACCAAGTCAGCCTATGAAGTTACATGTCATAATTTTATTATTAAATGATTATGGGGGAGAAGTGAAATAAATGTTGCTAATGATCCCCACACTTGTTGACCAAATTAAGGATTTTTAAAAATATACCTAGGAATTACTAGATCCCTAGCAGTGTTTGATTAACCTGTGCTGAACAAATGAGTAATCATATTTTATCAGTTTCCTGGCTTTTTTTTCCCCCTCTCATAATTTGGTAATATTCTTCTTTATTAGCCAAATCCCTTCCCAAATTTAGTTAGAAGATACATCCAAACATCTTAAAGAAAAATTGACAGTCCTTTTGCATTCTGGGTTACCCCACTTGATTAGATCATGATATATTAAGGTTGAAGTTTTAGAGGTTAAAGTTTAGTTCTGGAATCCTACTGCATTCTTTATAACATTGTTCCTAATCCACCTCCTTCCTGCCCCCAACTTGCCATCTGTACACAGCCTCTATATCTTTGTTATATAGTGTATTAAAGCATGAGGATGTGTCAGTGCGAACTGGCCATCAGTAACAGGACACTCAAGAGTGCATGCTGGCCACTGGTAGATTTTCAGTATAGTCATTTTTGTATAATGGATAGCATGTTCAAGAGGTGCCATGAACGAGAACTTTGGGGTTTAGTAGTGTGCTTGTGGAGGATATTACAGAACTTGTATAAATTATAAGACCCTTGTCTTCACATGGCTTAGTCCCAGTTGCAACATCCATAGATGGGAATCTTTTTCACAGGCTGTGTTTCTCCTTAGTGAACACAGGGTACAAAAGATGTCAGAGAAAATCTCTACAGATGATGTAGTACTGTGTCCTCCATGAAAGATGAAGAAAGCTAATTGTGTATCTACTTTCTTTAACTTTCTTTAAAACAGATACTTTTTAAATTGCATGATTTTTATTAAGCTTGTATTAGGAAAAGTTACTTTTATAGCTAGATACTTTTGTAGATTTTGATTCAAAACTAAGCCCTGCTGACTTCATATTTTTTTTTGTAGTGTATAAACCTGTTTGCTTATGATAAACTTAATTAGCCCAAAGTTGATTTTAGAAATTATCAGGTAGAACGTAATGTCTTCCCATCTTCAGGAGGCTTTGTCATGGACTGAGTAGGTAGATGAAAAGTAATTCATGTGTGAATAGCATGTATTTTTAAAGAACTTTAGAGTGCCTTGTGGAATTCCCCCTCTGCCCCAATTTGATGAGGTTTACAATCTCTAGGGGTAAATAGACAGGGACTGTCTTTTTGTATGGAAGTTGAGTCTGTAACTTGTCTAAGGTTGTCAAAGCTATTTGGGAAGAACAGAAGCCAGGTCACCAAATCTGGACTCCATGTTTGTGCAGGTGTGTCTAGCAAAGCATTTTGTTTGTCAGTGCTTTGTGCTATTTCCCAAAGGAAATATTCTTCCTTCAAGACAACTTTCTGGTATTTGAGAAAGTAATAGAATCTTAGATTTTCAAAATTGGCATTAAGTTGTAGGAATTAACATTTGCTTTGATTCTGAACATGTTGCTGTGTAACTCAGCAGTGAGAATTAACACATTGGCTGGGCACTCTTTCTTCCTTTTACAGTGTAAGTGAATAGGAAGTATTTATGGATTTTTCTCTCTTTATTTAATGTTGTGTCTTAATAGGTTGGATTATTAGTGTCCCCCTACTGTTCTTTCTGCTGTTGTCTTAGTAAGATGCATAAAATATATCCATCTTGTGTGTATATATAACAGTAGGTCAAGTTTAGAGTACTAATGTCTGTAAATAAGGAATGACTATTAGTATTTCCAATAGAATTGTTTATTCTTTCCAGTATAAACACCACTTTATCTAGACTGAAGTCCCTGAAGCTTGCTGTTCTTATGACTTCTCACTAATAATGTGCTTGAATAGGTATGTGACTTGTTGGTGGCAGCTTCATTTCAGGAGACTTATTTCAGTCTATATTTCGTTAGGATGATTGTTCTTGGAATGATGTATGGACTGACTTTAAGCTAGAAAAATGTTCATACTTTACAGATGACATTGATCTCTAGACTTTATATTTTTATATTTGCTCAAGCTAAGTTTCAGAATTGACCAAGAGTAGTAAGTAACTAAACTAGTGGCTAGCAGTCATCATGAGACGAGGTAAGGATACTAATGTTTAAAGGTGGAGAAAAATACCAATCTCTTCACCAGTGAGTGTTTCCCAGCTCCTAGATTTTTATTTTCTCAGGCAGTCTTTCTTGCTTCTGGATCTGATGAGAAAGGCTAAGTACGCTGGTGTGCAGTACGGTTCTTGGCTCTTTTGTGGGACCTATGTCCTGTTCATCTCAGAAGAGTAACCACCTGAGCCAACCTTCTTTCTTTAGTTGTTCTTTCCTAGGAGGTTATCATTTTTGTCTTTAGAGCAGAAGTGGTATGTCTTTTAGTCTTAAGTTCAATAGATTCATATCTCTAGGGCTTCCTTTTCTCTTTGACTCAAATGATCTCTATTATCTTTTTGCATACAGTCTGGCTACAGTCCTGTAGTCTTAGCCCTTAGGGATTCCATCTCAAAAAATAAGCAGAGATCTATCATTCTATGAAACTTCCCATTTTAAGAATTGGGTAGGAGGGTTGTTGCTCAGTTCTCTTAGTTCTCAGTTCTCAAAGTCTTTGTCTTTGTTTCTGTATTGGCAATCCATGGCTTTTTATTTTTGTATACAAGGTGTACAGCTTTGCCCCCTTGGAAAATCATTTTGTGTAGCCTGTGGATTCTCATCCTTTTTCTCCAAGTAAATGACCTGTTTCAGTGGTGGCGAACGTATGGCATGCGTGTTGCAGTGGGCTGTTTGTGTCAGTGGAAACTCTGCAAGGTTCGCCATCACTGACCCCTACCTATGTTACTAGTCATTAAAAGATTAGATCCTTCAATGTTCTCATTTGGCAGTATTAGTTTTACTTGATTCCTTCAGGCTTTACTCCCTGTCTCTCTGAAGTGTGATGACAGGAAAGGAAACCACATGGGTGACTAGTAGTGACACCTCACTGTTGCCTGGGTTTGAGTTGAGACAAGATATGTACAAGACCATTCTTATTATGTAATTGCAGAACCTTGCCAGGATAAAATTTTCCTAAGAAATGAGAAAAACTGTTAAGACGCTGATTAGTACTTAGGTGATATAGATGAGAACAATTAGTACTTGGTAAAGGAACAAACGTTAGCTTAAGATCTGGAGACGTAAAAGCATATTCGAGAACCCGAAGCATCTTGGTTATCAGTTAGTTTTAACAAGTTTCTGCTGGCTTGTCCCACTGCCAGTGGCTTAGGGTTCCCAGCGGTGAGTTATAGCCCCGTATGGCCTTGTCCTGCCAGATGTCAACATGTTGAACCACTCCCCGTATAAATGAGGGTATCAGGGAGTAAGATAACTTACTTACTAAGATAGTAAGATAGCTTGATAACTTATTTAATCTGATGTATTATAAAGTACACATTAACTTTAAAGGTTAAAATGACTGATGTGTGATACTAATAATTTACTAGGAAAAGTACTTTTGGGCTTCAGTATCTGCAAGATTTCTTATAAGCCAGGTACTAAGGTGCTAAAACTATTTCATTGTTGATATTATTAGCCTGAGCAGACTTAATAAATGGCACACATTGCTATATATGTATGTATTCTTCTAACATTCAAATGATGATCTTTTTGTCTCCTCACGTTGCTTTGTTAGTTCTTTACTTACTCTTTCAACACTACCAATTCTTATTTTTCCTCTTCAAAAATTTTTTTTTTTTTTTTTTTTTTTTTTTTTTTTATGGTCAGTTTCTTTACTTTCAGGCATTTTGTCTTAGAATTAGTGCTCCTTTGCCCCCAAATTAAGGACTTAGATCTCAATGACAAGTCATTGGATAATAGTTACATTTAATTATACTAAATTTCTGTTGGCTAATGTTAATTTTTGATAATAATTTCTGCAGATTTGTGTTGATTAATAATAGAAACTAATAGTTAATCAGTTTTTTATTCTCAAAACATCATTTTCAAAAATTAGGGAGAAAGTGGTAGTGAAAATTTAAATGATGATGGGATCAGATTGCAGAGAAGCAGTACGTTATTAAATTGCCAAAATGTCTTGTTCTCTCAGCAAATAAAGGTAAAAAATTGAAACTTGTCACTTGGCAGATAGAGAAACCCTTCCATGCTGGTAATTAGGAGGTTAGATTGTGTAAAACATAATTTTCAGTTTACTGGATTTGTTGGTTTAACGTGGG